TATATATGCAAACAAAACACCCAAACACATAAAAATAAATAAATTTCTTTTGAACCTTGCTATGGAGAAGGATGCTGTTTACTCTGTGCCTCTGATTTTTTAGTGATTTCTCCCTAAGCATTTCCTTGCCCCATGCCCAGCGGCCTGATGAGTCTGAGACAGGAGTTGGTGGTACACACCTCAGCATTTCTTAGCCTTCTTTCTTTTAAGAGCAGGTACTCAGCAGCATCTTCCGTACCGAAGTCCAGGGTCCACCAGAGCGTCGTCTGCAGATGTGGGCAGTTTAATTTCAAGAATAAACTATGAAGACATCCCTTTCCTGTACAGTGTGTGAAAGGCTCTTGGTACCCAGTCTGTTCCGCACTGCACCTGCTCCACTGGACACTTGACTGGTCCAGACAGAAGTGCCAGGGGAAGGCAAGGCTGGCTGTGCTCTGAATGTGGGTGTGAGCAGACATCCATTTCCTTCCTGAAAGCCTTTCTTCTAGCTGACACTCACAACAGCCACTGCAGTCCTCCAAAACTTCGGTCTCAAATAAACTTCAGGGTCCTTTGATTCTTCTGTCGTGTAGCCTGAGACCATAAACCAGGCCTGGGCACATACGGCAATCAGCCGATACATTCCCTCACGGAGGCAGAATTTTCCTTTCAATAGGTGAAATTTTTCCAAAGGACTGCTTTCCATGTCTCAAAGCACAGGAGTCTTCTCATTCAGATGTGCACCTCAGGGCTTCTGTGGAGACTGGCAAAGCTTCTTCTAGTATAAAACTTGAGAACCTAGGGCTGGGTGTGGTGGCGCATACCTTTAATGGCAGAGGCAGGTGGATCTTTATGAGACCGAGGCTAGCCTAGTATACAGAGTGAGTTCCAGAGCTAAATATTATAAGAATCCTGTCTCAAAAGAAAATCTAGAACCTAAAGGCCATTTCAAACAAACTGAACTAATTCAAACCAATTGATGTGTGGCCAGAATTCTCCCCAACAATGAAACACCACAGTACAAGTTCGTCAATTCCAAATGACCCAGAGAGCCTCTGAGATAGACAATTGGGGAAAGTGGACAGGTTGAAATTTCCTTTACCAGGCTTTCTCCTCCGCATCCACTGAATTCTAGGTCTCTCTCTCTTCTCTGTGTAGACTTGTCTAATGTATGTAGGAATAGCATCTCCCAGTGTTTCCTCACTGAGGCCAAGTGACCTTACATAATCTTAACTCTCCTAACAAAATAAATCAATAGAAAGTGTCATCTGAATTTGGCAAATATTCTTGTGGAAAAAAATCTTTAAGCAAAAGCATATTTGTTGATGTACTGGGACAATAAACTCCTAAAACAGATCAAAATTTCCATGAGCCAACTCAGTCCTTAGCTTCAACATTCACACTTTCCTCAACCACAGCCACTATCACCCTGGTGAAGCCACCTCACTGACCTGTTACTAGTGAGCCAAATGCCTTTGCAGAGGACCAGAGGAATTCCAGAACAGTCACAGAGAGTGCCCAACTGCAGAAATCCTGGGCTGTGCTAAGTAAAGAAGCCACCTGCCTGATACACAGGAGATCAGCCACAGTTGGTGTGTCTCTGTGTCTCCAGTCATGTAGAGCAACAGATCTCATCTGACACACTCCCCTCTTCTTTAAGGCTATGCAGAGAGGGGTCTTGTGACAGTGAGAGACAGCACTACTCCACTTACTGTGTTCAACTTCAAAATAAAAATAAAGATTAGGGAAAGAAAGATGTTCTTTCCCAAGTAACAAGTAGAGGGGACAAAGGGGGTAGAGTTCTAAGGAATATCAAGGAGCTGCAGCCCCAAGCCAAAGA